TAATGATGATACTAATGTAAGTAATTACCATTAATAATTCAGGATGTGCCCTCTAATTATGCAACTGCTGGAAATGGATTCACGCCTGGTGCCAAACCAAAGTCTATGTCAGCGCTGAAAATAGAAAAATGATTCGATATTTTATTCATTGTTAGTCCACATATAGAAAAATTAGATTCACTGACCCAGAGAGGATTTACTGAACACGCCTGCTCTTTTTCAGCGACAGCCTGCTTCACATTCACACACTAATGTGCTTCCACACTCGGTAGCTTCCCAGTACATCAACAACTGATGTACTGGTGGTGACAGAGTAACTAAACCGAGAGCTGGAAGGGCTTCAGTTCTCTGATCCAAGCCACTTTTAATGTGATGGAAGAGCGTTGCCTGCAACCAGCAGATTTCCCTCACCAGTCCAAGGCTTTAACACTCACTGGATGCTATCTTTTGGGATTATAGCGTCTCATACAGATTGCATGCCCTGAATGCATTTCTATTCACTTCCTTTCCCTACAACAGATTCCATAATCTGTTCATAGACGACAGACGATGAGCGAAACGATGAGCGAAACGCTGAGCTCATGTCTACCGAATCAACAAGAGGCAAACAGCCAAATGATCTTTGAACAAAAACTATTTAACAAGAGGTGATTCACAATAATAAAAATCCAAGCAAAGCAGGTGATTTTGAAGGAATGTTTTTCTAACTACAACCATATGGCGACTTAAAACAGTCCTTATTCTTCTTTTGTTTATGAGCCTAACAGGAAGATTAATGACTTCAGAGATTAGATATTAGACAAAAGGTCCAAGTCAAAATGTATTAATTCTCCACAACTTTTACAAAACTATTTGCTGAAAAGGCAAAAAAAAAAGAACATTCCAGTTAGTGGTTAAAGGGTCAGTTCACTCAAATTACACAAAAACAACAACAAACTGCCTCTCTTCTGGTGAGGTTTGTTTTTTGGGATATGTGACTGAGATTAGGTTAAAAAAAAATGCAATGTGTCATTCCAGAAACAGCGTCCTCATTAATCTGGACAGAACACAATTCTTTTTAAGGGCTATTATGTTTTCGTAGAAAGTACAATCTTTTTTTGCAGCGTGGTCTGGGATTATTACAAGTTCTCATTGCTGTGAGCGCCACAAATGAAATTCAACCCACCTCCACTGCGTTGGGGTGAAAGAAGAAATGTTAAAACCTGGCCAAATAAAATCCAAACTTTATTTTGTTACTAAATATGGTTTGTGTGAGCCGATCCTTCAATATAGCTTCTATAAACACACCGTGATATCATATTGCATGTCACACAGAGGCTACTGTATGTCAGCGTGTGTTTAAAAAGCCAATTGTCCGAGAAGAACAACACATAACCGCTTCACATGTTGTCACACAGCACATCAGATAACACACAGAGGACATGAGCCGTGTCTCATTTTGTACGACAGTGTTTTTCGTGTTGTGTGTTTTTCTTGTTGTGTGTTTGACCTCTACGTGGTCTGCATGACTTTGAACTGCAGCACGAGCAGTGAGTGCTGCGGTCATACACACTGACGTTGCAGTGACATGATGTGCACCCCTGGAGGTGGTTCACAACAGTGCAGAGGAGCTCCCTCAAACTCCCACCATCTTGAGAGCGCTTTCTCGCTCAAAGCTCATATATTTCTCCCCACGTGATGTTTCTCACAACGTTTCAACCCTTTGCCCCCGCAGTTGGGGAGTAAATGGACACCCTGCCCTCTGCCTCCCCTTTCCTCTGTGGAAAGTGATGACTGATTGCTGATTGTAGCTTCTCCTCCCTTCTTCACTTATGTTTAATTATTAGTAGAGCATGCCGGGGCCAGATTTTATCATGTGTTCAGTGTTTTTCACCGTTGGTTGTGCCGTGTAGAAATGTGAATTGAAGTGTATATTTATTCATAGCTTTTCAGGACGTTATTTGCCCTCATAGAATCGACAGGCGACAATATGAATTTCAAAATAGTCGCCTTCAGACTGACTCATTGCCTCTTCTGCTCTTTTTGTCAGCTTGATTTTTCATGCAGAGAACACTGTTTTCACATAGAACCCTGGTCCTTGGGGGTGTCCTGTGTTGGATCTGAGTGTCCTGAGTCCTCATTTCTAAAATGACTTTAATTATAATTTCAAAGAATACGACAGGAAATAAGAGGTCTATTTTTATGCATTCAGTTGGTGACAGAAATAGTTTTAGCCTCTCTTTTATCATCAGAAGAAAAGTAATATACCACAGCTTTACCTCAGATTTAGCTTAATATGATAAATTAGATGTTTCACCCTCGTATTGTGGTTCAGAATTTGGGCTTAACTGTAAGTCATGGCTGCATGATATCGTGTTTACAGTACAGTATCTAGAGTGTTAATGTTGTGTGCCAGGAGGCCAATGGAACAGCAAGGGTCTGGTGTTGTCATTAATACTTAATGGCAGGCTGGAACGCCAATAACTGTGTTTGTAGCAGCCTCTGGGCTCACAATTACAGAATGCGGTTACAGACACCCGGGGTTGGGTTGGTGTGCAATTAGTTGCCTGCATCTGATAGGGTTACAAGTCACAGGTCACCACTGACAACTGTCCCGGTCACTAAATACCGGAGGAAGATTCAGATAGGAGATGGTGATAAGGACGGCTAGTAAATAGATGAAAAGAAGACGTTGTAGAGAGACTGTGTGACAAATAACACAATATCTCTCTTACAAATGAGAAGTTGAATTTAAAAGCAATTGGACACCCAATGTCTCTATTCAACACACTCAAATGTTTTGCCACTACATCCTTATAGGGTCTGGTAACTTATGGTTCAGGTTAAGTTAGCCAGTGCTAGCAAACTTTAGGTAGATGCTGGATAACTGTCATTAAGTTTGTGCTTCTGTTACACTGTTATTGTACATCACAGCTTAACATGGTGTCTTTAAAGCAGCTGATCTAAGAAAAATGAAGGTGAATTCAATATGCCAATGTCCTGTAATTACCACTTGTGGCCACAACACGGTCTTAAAAGTACAATATGTTATATTTTTGCATAAAAATGTCTAAAAACGCCAGACCTATGTTATAAATTTTTGTTGAGTTTTGAACTTAAGCTACATTGTCTTAAACGTTTCCAACGATGTTCAAACCCAGAGAAATACGTAATTTTATCAAAGGACACGGAGAGTGAGGGAGGAAGTTGTCGAACTTGAATAAAACTTTAATACATTACCTCGTCTGTGAGCATGATTTCTGCCTGAGCCATGTCGGATAGATTTTCACCAGTTTGTTTAACAATGATCTCAAGTCATTTAAAATTATGTCTTTTGTTATTGTTTTGATGTGAGAGACCCCTAGAGGCAGACATACTATGTGTTTAAAAGTGACCAATTATAAGAGGTAAACAATGCATCCTTTATTTGTTTTAGTTTAATTTTCTAATATTTATAATGTCTGTGTTGTGAGCTAGGCCTTAAAGCAGAGTGTTATGCAAAGAGCTGAGCAACGAGGCTAATGTTGAAGGCTGTGTAATAAAGTGAGTAAAGAGCTGGGAGCAGTGTACTGTTGTAGGGCATTTTGGAGCAGGAATAATGAGTAAGAGCACAAGAGAGAAGAGGAAAATGAATGTCTCATAACTTAAGTTTCCTAATGACAACCTTTGGTTATGAGCAGCAGGATTTCATATACTGAGATAATCGTCCTTCACTTGGCTGCTGCAGATGCTCAAGTATAAAAGACTTGTTTTATACAGTTTTCTTTGTGTTCAGTTTAAAGAAAGGTGTCCTCTCTGTTTCTGTGTGAAACAACACATACAATGTTTATACTGCAGTAATGGGGTTTCAGGCTGCCAGCAACACCTCATGCGGATATGAAAAAGACTTGTGAAAGTGATGTTCAGCATTTAGATTATATAAGCTTAACCCATTTATGGTATATTTAACCTTTACTGCCGCTATAATGTATGTAAATAAAGAAGATATTGTAAGACTTAATGGGATATTTTTTTATAGTATGAGGACCATATTCTTAAATTATTGTTGAAGGGGATTCAGTGCCCACCTGTTGGATTTAACACTATATTATAAATGTATAAATAATGATTATATGTTTTTTCCTCCATCTGTTGTATCATTATAATACATCATATTGTGTTATGTACCTATAAGAATGTTTTCTATGTCCTCAGCAACTGAATACATTTACTACTTATACTAAGTATTCCCATTTCATGCTACTTTATATTTATTTTATATTTGTTTTATTTATATTTTATATACTCTTTTTTATTCCCTTTATACCTTTAATTGACAGCTTAAGTTACTACTTTCTCTGCAGATTCAGATTTTACACACCAAACAAATCTTAAAATAAGATCTACTGTTATAATTTACCTAGTATATTAAAAAGTGGACTGCAAATGGAACAACAATAAACCTCTGCAGTAAAATACACATGATTGCATCACAAAAAAAATAATAATATGTAATAATAAAACCTTTTGCATTATGAGTACTTTTATTATTAATACATTTAGTACATTTTGCTAATTATATTTTGATTAAAATATTTATATAATAATACCTTTAGCTACATTTTTAATGCAGACCTTTAACTTTTAATGGAGTACTAAGTGTAGCATTCCTACTTTTACTCAAGTAAATATTTATATTAAGTATCTATCTGAATTCTTCCTTCACCTCTGTATATTCTTAATAGTTATAGTCACTTTTCACCTTGTTGTACTTAATACTGAGTTTATGAATATGCTCAACCTCTGGTTATTACTCAAATAATAATATAATGTTCTTTCATTTTAAGCCTAATTATTTTGAGGTATCTGCTGCAATATTCCCTTTAGGATTTGGAGTCTACACTTCATTTAATAAAGATTAACAGTGAAGGATCTCCCCTCAGGTTAAACAGAAAATGATTGAAACCCCAATATATAAACTTTTCTTCCCCCTCAGTAAAATAAGAGTCAAAGTTGATGATCTCTCAGTGATGCTCTCTTACCTATGGTCGTGATCACAGTGATGGCGAAGTAAAACGAGCCGGCGAATGTCCACTGCATCCCGGCTTTGTGCGGCTTCAGCTGCAGCACCACCTTCTCCAGCTCGTCAAAGTCCTCCGTGGACAAGTTGAACGTCTTGAGCAGCTCCGCTTTCCTCAGATCCAGCTCCCTCCTCTGGGTCGTCTCCTTCTGGGATTCCAGCGCGTCGAAGATCGCGGCGCCGACTATCAGGTAGGTGAAGGTGCAGATGATGAGGGCGAGGGTCCTCACGTTTTGCCTCTTCATGGTGGTGTGTCAGGGGGACGGGCGGAGTGTCAGCGCGGGTCTGGAGGACGGGGAGCTCGGCTGGCTCATGGCTGTGCTGCTCTGACGGAGCAGAGAAGCTCTCTGATTACTTTATGAGCAGAGGAGCTGTTCATTCAGCACCACACCTCCCTAACCCCCCCACCCTCACCCTCCCTCCCACCACAGGAATCCTCCCCCTACGTCCATCCATCCGCCCCCCTATCTCTCTCCCTTCTCCCTCCCATCTCAAGACAAAAATTTGTGTGTATCCTAGTTTAACCCTCAATGCAAATTACTGAGGGCTCTCTTTATTTTTTGCATGTGTCATATTTCTGTATTTACATCTTTTAATAGAAGATATATTATGTAACATTTCCACATTAAAGTGTCTATGAACACTGGATCTATGTTGTGCATTTTGTAGAGTTGTGTTCTTTCATTATCCCAAATGTTTCCGACAAAGTTCAAACCCAAAGAAATCTATATTTTTATTCAGGCTTCACCAGTCGCCTGTCAATGGCGTCATATCCTCTCTGTGTGTTTACAGCACTGTTGTTTTTTTATCCAGTTTTACGATACACTTTTTAGATCCTGGTCAGTGTTAACTATATTTTTCTACCGGATGAAGGATTTTTAATCATCGGACATTTGGATCAGGAAAAACTGAGCTAAGGTTAGCAGCAGCTTGGCCAAACATTATCAGAGAAACACTGAGAAACAAATTGAAATTGCTTTATTGAGTGTTTTTACAGGTTCTCTCTGCTTTTATCACATTAAATTGACAGTGAGAGCTGAACAGCGACAGGGAGAGAGAGAGAGAGAAAGAGGGGATGACATGCAACAAAGGGCCACAGGTCAGATTGGACTCAGCCTTAGTACGTGAGGTGCCGGCTCTACCAGGTGACCTACCAGGGCACTGTGAGTGCTCTTACAGGTTTAATCTGCGGTTTGTTTTAGAGAAGAGGAGACCTGAGTGGATAATTCGGCTCCAGTAAAAACCTCTGGTAAATTTGGATCTTTTGGTTTTCAGAGGAACACATTCAGCTAACATTAGCAGCAGCTCGGCTAGCAGGCTGTCTGGGGCTTTGTTTGTCATCTGAGCAGCATCAGAGGAGCATCAGTTCATAATGATCAAACAGCAGAAGTTAGGACACTACACTAAACATTACTGGCCCATTTTTGGGTGAACTAAATATGCAAGAGTTATCTTACATAGCACAGTGCGTTAATCCTTTGTGGGACAGGCATCAGTTAGTATACCCACTTCTCCAGGCACCACGAGCACTGATTAATACATTTACAAATAGTATGCTTGGAACAATGATGTGTCTGTTTTTTCAGACACACATTATTAAAATATAATTTCCACATTAAAACCCTTAAATCATCTTCTACCTTATTAAAATGTCCAGAATCTATGAATATGCACAAGTCTTCACTGTAAAGTCCATTCTCCGTGTATGTGTGCGCTGGTGGCTTTAAGTTTCTACATCACCCTTTAATAAGTTTCAAACTGAACCAGGATGGATATTTGTGATGTCACAAATCATGCTTGTAGGTCCCACCCCGTAAAATCTGCTTTTGAACGGAGCACAGAGAAACTTTCCACATTCAGCAGATGAATTTGGAAACATCCTTTGAGTGTCAGACTCTGCACATACATCATCCTGCACAGTGAAGGTCAAACATCAAACTGTAGGAACAAGAAGAAAAACTGATTTTTGAATGGAGGAGGAAGTAAAAGTTAAAAGTAAAAGTACCTATACCACACTGTGGGAATACTCTACTACAAGTAAAGGTCTTGCCTTTAAAACCTTACTTAATTATTATCAGGCAGTAAAATGATGACTGTCAGTGTTTTACTATTGTATATTTGGATTAATATTACTGCTGCATTAAAGGTCCAGTGTGCAGGATTTAATGGTGTCTAGGGTTGTCTCAACTTCCTCACTTTACCCTCCCCTTCCAAACCAGCTGCTGTTCTGTAAGAACCACATATCTCTAAAAAGTAACAAAAAATAAACAGCTAATTTCCAGGTAATCCAAGATGGTTTTTAAATAGTCAATTTATTTATCTTTCTGTTTATCAGAAAACATTCAGGAACTGTAGAGTAATCTGTAAATGTAGTGCAGTAAAAACTACAATATTTGCCTCTGAGATATAGTGGAATAAAGCATAAAGTTGTAAATTACCTTTTTAGTACTTGAGTAAATTTACTTAGTTACATTCCACTGCCATAGCACAGTCTTGGATTATGATTATTAATTATTGTTACTGATGCACTGAAGTATTTGAATGTTGTGGCAGATAGGAGAAAAATTTAAGTACTTTATAAACCATTTGGAAGTTTAATATTGTAACAATGCATCATAATTTTGGCGGTAAAACTTAATCTGTCAGATAAATATAGTGGAATAAACAATACAACATTTTTTTGCTGAAATGTGATGGAATAAACGTTTACTGTTTCAGAAACTGGAAAACTCAAATATTTAAGGACAGTACTTGAGTAAACGTACTTAGTCCTATTTCATTCACAGTCTCATATGAAGGATCACACCAGTGTTTGTGCAAAGCTGTGTGCACAAACTGTGTCGGCAAATGAGCCTGAATGCTACAAATGAATGAACTAGAGCTGAAACAATTAGTTGATTCATCAATTAGTCGATTGACAGAAATGTTCCAGTTTCTCAAATCTGAGGATTTGCTGCTGTGTTTTATATAACTGTAAACTGAATTAAAACATTTTGAGGTGTCACCTTGAACATTTATCCCAGACTATAACGACTGACCAAACAGACGTTTAACTAACTGTAACTCCCTAAAGAGTATCACATAGCAGGGTGTTCAGAGGCTGTAACATAAAATTGTTTGCTATTTTGGGGGGAAATCATGTACATTCCTATGAGACTATGTAGACTAGGGCAGCCTTTTTTTGGTGACCACTGAGCTACTTCAGCAGAGCAGCTGGGGGTAAAAAGCCCGTTATTCATTCACATTCACTGCTGTCAGAGGGGTTGGTTTTTTTTTTCAAATGAAAGGAAACTTCTCCATTTATGAGCGATGCTCTCAACATGACTCACCACAAAACTTCTACAGAATCCAGCTGTTACTTTGGCTCCAAGAAAAACTCAAATGTCTGCTCTTTGACCTTTTTCTTTCCCCTGCGCAACAAGGCAATACCAGAAGATTTCTTTCAAACTTAAGAGTATATAAACCGCATATGAAACTTTCCAACCTTGTTAAAATATTGCCTGTTTACATTGACTGGACGTTTAGTAGCATGAGTGGCATGTGTGTCTGGAGTGGATTTAATGTGTTTAAGCTGAGAGAGAAACACATGATGATGATGATTTGATGCAGAGAGACAAAATGTCAAGTGAAAGTCTAACTGGGGCCAAATTTGATGACCTCCAGTGTCACTGGTTTCCAGTCGGTGGTTCCCTGATGTGTTGTACGTCAGTGGGAGACGGCTCTACTTGGCGAGGACGCTATAAGAGGTCAAGGCAATCCCGATCATATTTCATCGCTTTTTTATTCCTTAATTATTGCTGATCTTCAAAAAACATCCTCTCTGTCTAAGATATATCTACAGTATAACCGCACCTCTACCAACCTGCAATAGACGATGTCATCTGTACTGCACCTCACCTGCTTTATCATTAACTGATAGATCCTGGACAATCTTAAGTTCCACACTGTGAGCTGGGCCCAAAATAGCTCTGGCTTCAGTAACCAGGTCAGTCAAGTCAACCGTGACTGAGCCTGCATAAATCCTCCCTTCACAAACTGAAGTGCTGCATGCCTCGGCCCGATCAATACGTCAATTAATCCATCACACTTTGATCCAAAATGTGACCTTTCAAAAAATCCTCTTTGGAAGGTAAAGAACAAAGACGTTTAATACATGGCATCTATACCATTTTCATGTCTACAAAGGCTTTTTAATGTACAGTGCACTGTATGAAAAATCATGTCTTTATGAATGAAAGGTTACAGTGGTATTGTATAATAAAACATTAAATGATTTGGTTGCCGGTTGACACACATTTTACAAACATCACAGACAGTAAACACGCATGATTAAATGACTACTTTGTCAACATATTCCACAGAAAGACAAAAAAAACAACCATGTATTAGTCCATCTCTCAATATTTTCTAACTTATGCAGCCTTTCTGTGGCTCCTAGTCCCAAGCCAATTGGTTCCTACTGAAGACATACATCTTTAAAAACAGGACAGAATATATATACTTTAATTTTTAAAAAGGCTCAGTAATTTTCTCGTCAGTGTAGGTATTAACAAATGTTACTGAAACAGGAGTAAAAAGTACATTTGTTGGGGACTACTTTCAGCTGAGGATTAATACACATTTGGTGGTGGGAGAGTGTATGTAGGATAAACTTAAAAACAAGAGAAGCTCACAATGGAGCTCTATGACACAGAGGAATAAGATATAACAGACTAGAAAAACAGATAATGCTTGTTAGTAAAGTCAATTCATTGTTAGTTATGGTCTTTCAAAAGGATTTGTTGACAATAAGAAAAATATATAAATATCACTCCATCCTACTTTTAAAGGACCAGTGTGTAGGATTTAGTGGCATCTAGTGACAAAGTTGCAAATTGCAACTAACTGAACACCTCTCGCGTCGGTATTTGACAACCTGGGAATGAGAGTGGACTGAAAAGTGTGTAGGAGAAACTCGCCAGCAATGCAAACGGCCATATCTAGAGCCAGTGTTTGGTTTGACCATTCTGGGCTACTGTAGAAATATGGCGGTCCAACAAGATAAAACTGACTCAATCTAAAGTAAAAAAACATAACGATTCCTTTATTCAGGTGATTATACACTAATGAAAACATACCTATGAATATTATTTTCCATTTCTACCAGTAGATCCTTATAAATGTTACACACTGGACCTTTAATTGTTACAGTTGCAACCCGTTAACGGAGGTGACAGGTATTGAAGTTATGAGAGCCGCCCTGCGATGCCAAGGTGGTAAAAGGCAAATGAGAAACCACTTGACAAGCTGACAGACCAACAGAAACAAAAACAAATGTGTTTAATATGCTGCTTTGTTTTGTGCGTGGTATTTATCTCTCAGGTTGGGT